TGAGACTGGAACCATGGTTGGCCATGTGGGAGCGTCCAGCGCCTTAACCACCATGCCACCTGCTGGTTCCCTCCAGTAATCATTTTTTAAAAAGGCTATAGCTACCATAGACAATGAGCCCTCTGGTGGATCTGGGCAAAGTAAATGAATCACTTGCTGGAAAAGATTCACCATTCTCCAGCAGATTCCAGTAAGAACATTGCTGACTCATAGGAAGAAGTGAAAATGCTAACAACAGAAGTTTGGGGAAGCTGGTTCTGTGAGGGCCAACACTCACAGATGACTTGGGGCTCAGGACTTCAGTGGAGGAAGTGACTGCAGACGCTGCCGACAAGAGATCCGGGATTGGAAGCAGAGCCTGAAGGTGTGACTGAATCGGTACAACCTCGTGATAAAACCCCAATGGGCGAGAAGCGACTGCCGATGACCCAAGAGAGTGGTTTCTAGAGATGGAAGCTGCTCCTCGTGGAGATGCTGGGGCATAGTTGAAATGATAAGAAGGATTTTGAACACTGCATAAACTTACAGCATCAGGGTTTGAGAGGACTGACTCCAATCTCGAAGCTTTACTGTGGGTAAAATGCTATCAAACAGCATTTTCAGGTTACAGAGAAATTGCTCATGAAAAGAGTTCATCGATGCAGCAAACTTCACTATAATCTTATTTTTAAAAATTGTGGGGCCAGCAGGTGGCATGGTGGTTAGGGTGCTGGACTCCTATACGGCTGACCACGGTTCAAGTCCTGGACCTGATGGCTTGTTTTCTCATATTCCCTTTCTCTGTCTGGTCAAATTTAAAAAAAAAATAATAACAACAAGTAAAATAAGGAAATTGTGATAGCCACCCCAACCTTCAGCAACTGTCATGCTGATTAGTCAACAATCTTTGATATTAAAGCAAGCCCATCCACTGACAAAAAGATTAAAACTCACTAGATGATTGTTAACATTTTTTGGCAATAAAGTTTCTTCTAAATTTTTGTTTGTTTGTTTTTCTTTTTTTTTTTTTTTGAGACGTTTTTGCTATAGGGCGCGTGCGCTCGCCAGACAGAGACAAAGATAGAAAGCGAGAAATCACCCCCCAGAGGGGATGGCAAAGACGCAATCCCTTCCCCTCCATTCTCCTCTTGGGATCTTGGGCATGCACGCACATGCGCCCAACGTGAGTTTAAGCCTCCAGGTCCGGGACTTGAACTGCGGTCGACTACGTGGGAGTCCAGTGACATAGCCATTATGCTAACTACCGGTCCTGTTTGTTTTTTAATTTTCCAGAGGGGCTGTGTACTTGCTAGAGACAGACAGAGCTGGAGCTGGAGAAAGTACCCCCACCCCATAAGGCATGGTCATGTTACAGCCCCTTCTCCTCCATCTCTCCATCCGGCCAGAATCTGGGGTGCACATGTACATACGCTTGACATGTTTTTAAAGCCTCCAGGACTGAGATTTAAATTATGCAATTGTCCATGTAGGATGCAGCTCCCTTAACCACATGGTCAACCCAGTAAGAAAATATTCTGAAATTAAGGTATGGGGACCAGCATATGGTGTAATGGTTACGCCGTTGGACTCCCACGTAGTCGACTGCAATTTGAGTCCCAGACCCAGAGCCTTGAAACTCACGACGGGCACATCACATGTATGTCTTGAAACTCACAACGGGCACATCACATGTATGTGTGTACCCAAAATCCCAAGAGAAGAATAGAAGAAAAGGGATTGTGGCAGTGTGGCCATCCACACTGGGAGGTGATTTCTCACTTTCTGTCTCTTGGGCGAGCACACGTGCCCTATAGCAAAAACCTCTCTTGAAAACACAAGATGAAATGAAGGTATGTGCATTTTTGCATACATAGTTCCATCCCACACTTCATAGTACAACACAATGTTGCTGTAACTCTTACACGCACTGGGAGTCACAGAGTACGTGTGACTTGCTTTCCTGGGGTCTCAACTGACCCTGCACTAGCTGAGGTGTGCCTCACTCTGGGCAAGGCTCCCACACAAGCAGAACAAAGACAGGCGGGCTGGGGACTCGAGGGTGGGCCAGACTGAAAGTGGTCCTCCCGAGCTACGTACGTGCTACTCTTAACTACGCTGGCTTAGACTGGAAAAGCTTTCAAAAACAGCGAAACTGCACGTGATTCTAAGAACCTGTCCTCTGAGAGGTCGCCTGCACTTAGAAGACTAAAGCACGGTGGGTGTGAAAGGTCTTACCCTCCGGCCTGGGCAGAACAGGGTGCCGCCCCCACCCAGGGCTCTTACCTGTGCCGGGCCTCCCGTGAGGGACAAAATTCCACGCAGACTTATCGCTTAGGGCTGCTTCGGGCTCTCCCGGCTGACCTGGAACTAAAAAGGTGTGGTGCTGCTTTGGGTAGAGAGGCCCTTCGAGCGTCCTACACTTGCCCTTAGAGGACTTCCCAGCAGTCCCTATTTTCTTCCAGAGTTTCCTGATACTCAGAAGAGAATCACAGAACAGGAGCGGAAGGAGAGACGCAAAGGGAAAGCGAGAGAAGCGCACGAGCGTGCACACGTGCCAGGCTCGCTGTCCTCAGCCCGAGAGGAGCACCCCTGATGGAGAGAGAGGAGCGTGCGAGCGTGCACACGTGCCAGGCTCGCTGTCCTCAGCCCGAGAGGAGCCCCCCTGATGGAGAGAGAGGAGCGCGCGAGCGTGCACACGTGCCAGGCTCGCTGTCCTCAGCCCGAGAGGAGCACCCCTGATGGAGAGAGAGGAGCGTGCGAGCGTGCACACGTGCCAGGCTCGCTGTCCTCAGCCCGAGAGGAGCACCCCTGATGGAGAGAGAGGAGCGTGCGAGCGTGCACACGTGCCAGGCTCGCTGTCCTCAGCCCGAGAGGAGCACCCCTGATGGAGAGAGAGGAGCGTGCGAGCGTGCACACGTGCCAGGCTCGCTGTCCTCAGCCCGAGAGGAGCACCCCTGATGGAGAGAGAGGAGCGTGCGAGCGTGCACACGTGCCAGGCTCGCTGTCCTCAGCCCGAGAGGAGCACCCCTGATGGAGAGAGAGGAGCGTGCGAGCGTGCACACGTGCCAGGCTCGCTGTCCTCAGCCCGAGAGGAGCACCCCTGATGGAGAGAGAGGAGCGTGCGAGCGTGCACACGTGCCAGGCTCGCTGTCCTCAGCCCGAGAGGAGCACCCCTGATGGAGAGAGAGGAGCGTGCGAGCGTGCACACGTGCCAGGCTCGCTGTCCTCAGCCCGAGAGGAGCACCCCTGATGGAGAGAGAGGAGCGTGCGAGCGTGCACACGTGCCAGGCTCGCTGTCCTCAGCCCGAGAGGAGCACCCCTGATGGAGAGAGAGGAGCGTGCGAGCGTGCACACGTGCCAGGCTCGCTGTCCTCAGCCCGAGAGGAGCACCCCTGATGGAGAGAGAGGAGCGTGCGAGCGTGCACACGTGCCAGGCTCGCTGTCCTCAGCCCGAGAGGAGCACCCCTGATGGAGAGAGAGGAGCGTGCGAGCGTGCACACGTGCCAGGCTCGCTGTCCTCAGCCCGAGAGGAGCACCCCTGATGGAGAGAGAGGAGCGTGCGAGCGTGCACACGTGCCAGGCTCGCTGTCCTCAGCCCGAGAGGAGCACCCCTGATGGAGAGAGAGGAGCGTGCGAGCGTGCACACGTGCCAGGCTCGCTGTCCTCAGCCCGAGAGGAGCACCCCTGATGGAGAGAGAGGAGCGTGCGAGCGTGCACACGTGCCAGGCTCGCTGTCCTCAGCCCGAGAGGAGCACCCCTGATGGAGAGAGAGGAGCGTGCGAGCGTGCACACGTGCCAGGCTCGCTGTCCTCAGCCCGAGAGGAGCACCCCTGATGGAGAGAGAGGAGCGTGCGAGCGTGCACACGTGCCAGGCTCGCTGTCCTCAGCCCGAGAGGAGCACCCCTGATGGAGAGAGAGGAGCGTGCGAGCGTGCACACGTGCCAGGCTCGCTGTCCTCAGCCCGAGAGGAGCACCCCTGATGGAGAGAGAGGAGCGTGCGAGCGTGCACACGTGCCAGGCTCGCTGTCCTCAGCCCGAGAGGAGCACCCCTGATGGAGAGAGAGGAGCGTGCGAGCGTGCACACGTGCCAGGCTCGCTGTCCTCAGCCCGAGAGGAGCACCCCTGATGGAGAGAGAGGAGCGTGCGAGCGTGCACACGTGCCAGGCTCGCTGTCCTCAGCCCGAGAGGAGCACCCCTGATGGAGAGAGAGGAGCGTGCGAGCGTGCACACGTGCCAGGCTCGCTGTCCTCAGCCCGAGAGGAGCACCCCTGATGGAGAGAGAGGAGCGTGCGAGCGTGCACACGTGCCAGGCTCGCTGTCCTCAGCCCGAGAGGAGCACTCCTGATGGAGAGAGCCCTGGCGTGCAGAGATGGCACTGTGCGGGGAAGCCTCCTGGGTGGGAGGCGAGCGCTGCTCCCAGTTGGGCCGGCGCCAACAGCTGGGGGCATGCCTTCCCAGAACCGGGGCCTTGCATGAGCCACTGCCCAAAGGTGAGAGCCTTGCCGAGCAATGCTGGGCTCTGCACGACACACCGGGGCACATGCACAGGACTGTCACAACAGAAGCAGCCCCTTCACCCGCACTGTGCGCCAAGGTCGCTTCCCACAGCCCCGGGCCTAGACCCTGCAGACCCTGCGTGCGAGTCTCCTCTGACGTGTTACATACAATTCAAGCTGACGGGGTCACTTGATTGGGGGACACTGTTTTAACTGACAAAAGAAACAAATGTGCTTTCAGGGCTAAGTCATTTATACCAGTCTCTTGCATGAATTTCAATGGTTCCTAATGTAAAAGTTCGGAGAAAACTGCCCTTGGAAGTATTTCCGTACCTGTAGTAACAGCAACATATTATGCGTTTAAAATTTTACCCGGGAGATCTTATGTTAAGTGTTCTTACCACAGTACATAAAAAAATTACTGAAATAAATTTAAATGTTAAAAATATATAAATACATAAATACTTTCAAGACTGAAATGCTAGTCTAGAATAAACTCCTCTGTCTAAAGAAGGAGAGCCTCACCTCCACTCTTGAGCAGTCGCTTTTCTTCCTCCTTCAGCTTGTTCTGCATCAGCCGGAGGGTGTTTTCTGCTTCCTGTGGAAGGGGAAAGCCCAGATTCAGCAGAGGTGACCCCTGCCAACTGCTTTGTCCTCCTTTACCCTCGTGCACGCTGCCAAGTCTGAGACAGAACCGCAGACCCCTGGACCGCAGGAAGGGGAAGGAGCGGCCCCATCCAGGCCCCTCGGCCCACACTTCACTACCTGAACAGAACTGCAGGGGCAATCGACGCCTACCGCGGACAGACTAGGACTGCTGCAGGCCTCTCGCCATGGAAAGCAAGCGTGCATTTCATCGTTCTGCCCTGCCCTGCCTTCGCAGGGGCAGGGGCAGGGGCAGGGGCAGGGGCAGGGCGGGGGTGGGGGGGTCTTAGTCTTAATTCCTAGGGTGAGGCAATACCCTAGGAAGTAGTCAGGTTACTGAAGTGGGCCTGACTCTTGTCCAGAGAGAATGGAAGGACGCCTGTTTCCAAGTGCAGTGGTTGTTCCACACACTGAAAAGAAAGCCTCGTGTTTTAGGCATGCGGCGTTTTGGTAGGAAGCACGACAGGCACAGAGAACACAAACGAGTGTAGGAGAAAAAGAAGGAAGTGGGGGTAGAGGGGCTCCCAGCAGCAGAGTGGCCACCTACGCACCACCCTAGCGGCCATCCTGGGCACATGCCCTGAACTCAGAGGTGGCCCCAGATGACGCCCAAATGGTCAGTTCATTTTCTGACCACTTACTGATCTTTCCCAAGTACCTAATGTTGAAAATGTTCTAGACTCCAGCTCTCTCGCTGCCCTTAGAACATGCCTGTCCTATCCCCTACTCCGCCATGACCTGCCTCTGCTGTGGCAAGGGTGGCAACAAGTCAGTCCTCAAGCTAACGGTGTCCATGTGCACCACTTAGTTACTCCCGGTCAGCGTACCTGAGGACAAGCAGGCTGACCTAATCCAAATGCCCTGGACGGTAACAAGGCTGGCATAACCTTCGTACCAAAAGCTGTCAAGAACGACGTGACAAAGGGAGACTGCAGACCAGTTTCACCATGAACACAGAACATGGCTGTTCTCGGGTTAAGCAGAAACATCCCTAAGGGAAAAGACCGATTCAAAAGCGATCATGCCTAGCCACGAGCAGAAGAGCACTGCTTCCCCAATGCCGAGACCACACGGGAGGCCCGCGTTTGGTTCTCACCCCAACCGAGACACGCCAGGCACCACTGTGCACACCTGTGCTCCTAGCTGACAGGAAGGCTGGGCTGCAAGACGGCAGGGCCTGCTCAAGAGTTGTCTCTCTCCTGCACATACATGCACACTCTCTCCCTACAAAAAACGGTGACTGCAACTTTGTCTGTTTTCCTTTGTTCTGAATCCCACATTCCTCAACTCGGAAATCTTCTCTCCTAAGTGGCCTTACCTCTAGGGTGAGAGGAACCTGTTAGTTCACCAGGTAGGTTCTGGACCACACAGAACCTCCCACAGTCAACCAACCCACCAACCCACCACCATTCTGCCAGAAAGCAGTCTCTGAAGAGCTCATGTGGGGGACCCAGTAGCTGGGCTTGCAAACCTGCAAGAAAACGGGGCAGACAGGCTTTGAGATCAGCACTCAGAAGCAGCGACAGAATCTGCAGCAATCAGCGCAGAATAAAATGCACTCAGAGATCACTACAAATTTTCTTCTTTCTTTTCTTTTTCTTTTGGAGAGGTTTTTGCTATCAGGCACCACCGGGTCCGGGACTCGAACCACAGTCGACTACATGGGAGTCTAGTTATATAGCCATTACACCAACTGCTGGTCTCATCTTTTTCTTTTATTACAGTACTTAAATATAGGGGCCAGCAGATGGTGTAGTGGTTACATCACTGGACTCCCATAGTTCAGGTCCTGGACCCGGTAGCTTAAAAATCACACCAGACATGTGTGTAGGTGCCCAAAATCCTGGGAGAAGAATGGAATAGAAAGGACTGTAGCACGGCCATCCTCCCTAGGGAGTGATTTATTACTTTCCCTCTCACTGTCTCTCTGTCTGTCTGTCTGTCTCTGGCACACACCTTAAGGCTAAAAAAATCTTTTTTTTTTTTTTAAAGAACTAATTATTTAATTTCAATAGCCATTATTATTTTTTAATTTGATCAGAGAGAGAGAGAGAGAGAGAGAGAAAGGGAGAAAGCAAGCTGCCAGGTCCAAGACTTGAACCGTGGTTGGCCATATGGGAATTTAGCACCCTCTAACCACCATGCCATCTGCCGGCCCCCCAAAAAAAATTCTTAAAAAAAGTACTTATGTGTAATTTTACTCTATTCTGCATCAATGCGATGTAAACATATAGAAATGTGTGGATGACTTAATAAGCTATACCATTCCATGTTTTAATATTAATAACAAGGACATAAATGATCGTTTTCTTTTCTTTTTTTGGGGGGGGGAGAGGTTTTTGCTATAGTGTGTGTGCGCTCACCAGAAAGACAGAGAGACAGAAAGTGAGAAAATCGCCCCCCTAGGGGGATGGCCACACTGCAATCTCTTCTCCTCCATTCTCCTCTTAGATCCTGGACACACACGCGCATGCGCCTGGTGTGAGTTTAAGCCACCAGGTCCAGGACTTGAACCACAGTCGACTACATGGGAGTTCAGCGACATAGCCATTACACTAACTGATGGTCTCAGTTATTTTTAAATTTTCTATAGAGCACCTGTGCTCACTAGAGAGAGAGAAAAAGCAAGCCGCCAGGTCAGGAACTCAAACCTCAGTCAGCCCTATGGCAATCCAGCACCTTAACCACCACCCGCTGGCCCCAAATTTGTCAAATTTCTTTTAAAAAATTCAGAAAGAAGAGCTGCTGAGATATGTCCTTGTCTGCAATTCCATTCATAAGTAAGCACTGAGGGCACAAACTCAACAGTTAAGTGCGGAAGGTCGCGCATTAGATTTTGCACATGAGCAAACGTTCGTCCATTTTGTACCCTTCCCCTAACATGGCTGCCTGCTTCTATATTCCTGCTTGCTCTTCCCATGAGAAAACAGCTCGTGCTAGCCACACAGAAAACCGCATCCAGGACGCCACCCCGTACCTGCCACTGTCTTTGCCAACCAGCCCGAGACCCCTTGGTTTAGCAGTGGAACTGCCTGCGTGGAAACCCCACGCCCCTCAGAAATCATTAACCTGCCTGACCCGGCTTCTGTAACTGCCTCACAGGGGAATCCTGCACACCTGGCAACCGGCCCCTGTGAGAGGCTACCCCAGGCTTGGGCTGGGGCTGAGTCCGGACTCTCAGCCCCGAGCCTCAGGCTGTAGTCGCTGGCCAGCTAATAAAGACTCCCTTTAACCTTCATCTGGCTTTGGTGGTCGTTCATTCGGTGCCGCTCTGGAACATTAATCTTTTATCTTCAAATTCTAATTTCTCCAACTGGTTTCTCTAAATTATATCTTCCTCTGTTGTACTGAAAATATCAGCTCCCTTTCCTGAACCTGGATATATTAGTTGAAGTACAATTCAATATTTTAACCACTTGTATGAAGCCTGTTCTAGCAGACAACAGAGATCTTTTTTTTTTTTCCCTTTAATTCTTGAAACTTGAAGATTTCAAGATTGCCCCCAGGACTGCTTACAGAAACAAAATCTCCAGTCTGAAGACGGTCTAGCTCTGGGGTGAAGAGTCCAGCAGGACAGACTTTGCTTAAAAAGTAAATGTATTTCTCGTGGGGAAGAACCGGTTCCTGGAGTCCCGAAGAGTACGGGATCAGATACAGGTGTCTCCGGCCTTCCTCTTTCTGCACCTGAATAGCGAGCCTAGGTAAACATGTTGCCAACTGGCACTGCAGACCAGTGCTCGGTGGCAGCATGGTATCAGGAGTGGCATCTTCCTTGGAAATTCACCAGCACTCTGCAGTGCAAGCCTCTATCTTTCTTTGGAGTGAGTTAAGATTTCTCCAGGAGATGACCAAGACATTTCCAATAAATATTCTCTTTTTTCTTTAGAACAATATTTTTTTCACATGCTCTATAACTGACACAGAAAAATCTTACTGAAGCTGATGGCTTATCCTACACATATTAGGTATGAATAATCCTTGATAATTGCTTCTGCTCCAGAGGAATTATCCTGATGGTCAACCATCCCTGAGGCTAGATCGATATCCTTGTGTTTAGTACCTACATCGATGGTGACCGGAGACCACTGGAAACCAGTCACAGCTTATGGAACTAAGACCTCCTTTGTCAAGTGCGTCTGTCATGGCTCTGGGGAAGCGCACCTTTAAGACTTTCTTTTCCTGGGAACCAGCAGTTAGTGTAATGGCTATGTCGCTTGACTCACACGTAGTCGACCGCGGTTTGCGTCCTGGACCCGGTGGCTTAAAACTAACGCTGGGTGCGTGTGTGTGCATGCCCAAGATCCCGAGAGGAGAATGGAGGAGAAGGGATTGTGGCATGACCATCCCCCCGGGGGGTGATTTCTCGCTTTCTGTCTCTATGTCTCTCTCTGTCTGTCTGGTGAGCGTACGCGCCCTATAGTAAAAATCTCTCCAAAAAAAAAAAAAAGACTTGCTTTTCCTCACAACTGTCTTTGGGAACGGTAAGTTTAACGGCCAACCTGTCAACCAACCATTCTCTCAGCATGGGTTACTAACTGACCCGATGGTTCACCTGGTCCAAGGTCAGCGCCATCCAGTCCTGGTAGAGAGCTCAGCTTCTCCCCAGGACAGTGCTCCATACACGGGCTGACAGTACTGGAACCCTTTTATGTAAACCCAACAATCGTCTTTCTTGTTGTATTTTTAAGTTCTTCCTCAGTAACTCAATTGACCTGCCCTTTAATCCTGTTAGGCCCTTCCCACTTGTGGTCAGTCGAATCCAATCCATAAGACCTCTGCCTGTTCAAGAGTACCGCGCTATGCCCACTGCTGTGCGTAGGGGCCAGGACACACTGGGAAGGGGTGGTCAGCATCCTAGACCCTTGGCCCAGGCTCTGCCTGGGGCCCACCTCCAGACAGGGTAGCTCGGCAACGCCCCCACGTGGGATCTGTGGCCGGACAGAGGCCAGGCCCCTGACTCTCTTCCGAAATCATTACGGATTTCAAGGCTGTGACAGAAGAGGGCATGAACACAAGCATGGGTGCTCCTAAGCGCAGAGTCTGGGGCACAGGTCACAGGTCACAGGTTGGCCCTGCCTGTACTCCTCACTGACCAAACCCCAGTGAAACACAACATCAAAGATCTGACAGCCCCGGAGCCCAGGCTGCCTTGCCAGCAAAGCAGAAGCCTCACAGGGGCAATCCTCAGACTGGCGCGGGAGAGAAAACGCTGATACTTTTCCCACCGTGGCACTTATGGCGTGACAAGCCACCACGCCCGGAGGAACAGCCTGCAGCCAGCTCTCACCTCAAACCTCTCCTGCTCCATCCGATGATGGTCCTCGAGCTGCTGCTCCAGGTAGGCCAGGTTTCGGAACTTCTCCAGGTAAACGTCGTACTGTTTTTGGAGTTCTTCCTCGATCTTCTCGTACTCGTCCATAAAGGCTGGCCTACAGGGACGGAAGAGGAGAAAGGTGAGTCCATGTACAGTCACCTGAAAGTGGCACTCAGGCTTCCTTTCCCCCTCCCTTCACATCATCATACCCACCCCCCACTTTTCTTTTTGCCAGAGGGAACGTGCTCTTGCTGGAGAGAACAAGAGGGGAGCAGAAAGCGTCCGCCATGGGGAACCGCCAGGCCGTGACCCTTTCTCCTCCGTTGCCCCTCTGGGGATTTGTGTTCCCAGGCACAAAATGTTTTGTGTTTCTCAAGCTGCTGGTCTGGGACTCAAACTGTGTGGTCGGCCATGTAGGACCTGGCTGCTGTATCTACCAGGCTAGAGTCGGCCCAGACTACTCCTCTGCAATCATAGATATGATGTGTTCTAGCTTTGCGCAGTGGCAGTATCGTAGCCAATGAGATTTATCCGAGGCGCGGTTATTGCTAATTGAAAAAAAAAGTGTTCTTCATAAAACTTGAAATAATTCTTAAAATATGAAGACTGATATAAAAATTATTCATAATCCCATCACTAGGTATAAGCACTTAATATTTGATATACATCCTCTAGACTTTCCTACCAACAGAAAGAGACAGAAATACATTTCTTTAACGTTGGGAAGGAGAGGAAGAAGAGGGAGAAGGAGATACAGGTCTCCATGCAGAGCCCGCCCGCCCCAGCCTCCCAGCTAGCTGGGGTTACAGGAGCGTGCCACTGCACCTGACCTGCTTGGGTCGGTCAGGACGTGGGCAGTCACGTAACTCCACCTCGTGTGACAGTGCCTACCACCTGTGTCACCGCAACTGGGCCAGCAATGGGTGTTTGGGGTTTTGACAAAAGGTAAATATATTGCCATAAATGAAGCCTGTCGTCTCTTTCATTTTTTCACTTCAATATACCATAGATCTTGAAAGTTAAATAATAGATCGTACACATCTTTCAAAATCTTTTTAATTGTCAGAGGACTTATCTGCTTGTGGGGGGGAGGGGAGAGAGAGAAAGAGAGAGAGAGAGAGAGAGAGAGAGAGAGAGAGAGAGAGAAAGCATCCCCGATGGGGCATGGTCAGTCATAATCCCTTTTCTTCTATTTCTCCAGCCTGTCAGGATCTGGGGCACACACACACACATGGGCTCAGCGTGTTTTTCGAGCCGCTGGGGCCATGATTTAAGCCTCAGTTGGCCCACATGTATCCAGCTCCCTTAACCCATAGGCTACGGGCCAGCCCTGCTAGACAATAAAACATGTAAACACATGATCCAGCTGGCAGCATGATGGCCAAAGGCATAGATCATGTCCTGGACTTGGTGGCTTGAAAAACATGCCAGGCACATGTGTGTGCATGCCCAGAATCCCAAAAGGAGAATGGAGGAGAAGGGATTCCACAGGCCCATCCCTTGGGGCTGCTTTCTCACTCCCTCTCTCTAGTCAGTGCCTATGTACTTTAGCAAACTGATACACCCACACACACTGGTTCGCTAAACTTGTTTTTCTTTCTTATTATTGATCTTAAAGGGAAAACTGCTTAAAAAATATAAAACATAAGCAAAAAGGTAATTTATAAGCTTTTAGACTAGAACCAAACAAACTCCTCTATTAAAAGAATTTGGAGCTTGGGACCAGCGGATGGCATAATAGTTATGTTGCCGGACTCCCATGTAATTGACTGCATTCGAGTCCTGGACCCGCTGGCTTAAACTCATACTGGGTGCATGTGCGTGTATGCCCAAGACACCAAGAGGAGAATGGAGGGGAAGGAAATGCAGCGTGGCCATCCCCCGGGGAGGTGATTTCTTCCTTGCTGTCTGTCACTCTCCAGCAAGTACATGTGCCCTATAGCAAAAATCTACCATAAAAAAACCCAAAAAACAAAAAACATGATTTGGAGCTTAACAAAAAATAACTTATGCTTTGAAGGCAGAATGTGTCCATGAGGTCAGTCTAACTGGTGGCATGATTTCAGAAGAGGCAGGAGCACAGCTTTGCCCTGGGTGGAAGAAGCCTGCTGCTGCCTCTCCACAAACCCAGAACAGGAGCCAGGGTGCGGGCCAGGAGCCAGCCGCCAAAAAAGGCAGAATACATTCAGAGCAGATGCCAGAGCTGGCCAAGGCGGGGGAAAGACAAACAGAGGAGAAAGAGCAGCACAGAGGAGCGGGGAAAGACAAAAAGAGGGGCAGAGAGAGAGAGAATGGAAGAGACAGAGAGAGAAGAGAGGAGAGGATGAGAGGGAGGGAGAGACAGGGGAAAGAGACAGGGCGAGAGGGAGGGGAAATGTGAGGACACACTGCAAAGGCCCAGTGGTGCAGAAGGCCGCGTGTCACTATTAGCACCTGTATTCCCTGGGGATGTATTTCCATGCGCGGAGTCAGATGAATTTGTGACCAGTGAGGAATCATCAAGCCTAAGAGTCACTCAGACTGAAATGGGAGCCTGTGTGTCTCCACCTCCCCGAGGCTCGACCTCGGGAGACCGCCTTCCAGACCGGACCGAATGCCTGCATTCCAGAGGCTACAGAAGCTCGCAGGGCAGCTGGGGCGCCCGGCCAACACACACGGAGGGCAGTGAAGACGGGCTCCACGCTGCGGCAGGCCAGGAGCACATGCACGCCGGGAGCCCACCAGCCCGGTGTCCTTCCGCTGCGGACAGCCAGTCCTGCTCCTGCCACACTCGGCCTCGCTCGGGCCCTGCCACCTTCCGGAGCCATCTCTCCCGGACTCCATGGCACCTGGCACTCGCACCTACCTGACGCTCTGCAGAGTCTGCAGCCGCTTCCGGTTTCTTTCCAGTTCTAGCTTTCTCTTCTCAATTTTGGCTTCTAAATTAGCTTCGTCAGAGGCCACGTTATTGAGCAGGTCTTTGGTCTTCTGAACCTGCGCCTGCATTCAACAGGAAGCGGACAGCGTGACCAGAGGGCCAAACTACAGTTGACTAAGTGGGAGTCCAGTGACGTAGCCATTACGCCATCTGCTGGTCCTAGTCAAAGCTATTTGTTTCTCAAGTAAGAAAAGTCAATGTGGATTCCTCATGGCTCCTGAGAACTAGTGATTACAGGGTAAAAGAGAAATGAAGATTTCCTACTGATAATTCAGCCTCCAGCCCACAAGTTTGAGTGGTAGGGAGCTCCTCTAGCCTTCTATCTCTGTCTCTGTGTCTCTGTCTATCTGCTTTTGTCTTCTAAGTTTTTGGTAATTTTTCCTTTAAAAATTTTTTTAAGGTAAAGTATTCTCTTGTTTTCAGCCCTGCCTTTGAATTGTTAATAATCCTCTCTCCTCCTCCCACCCAGGCAGGAGGACAAGAGGCAGGCCATCAGAAGAAGATTCCTCATGGGTCCTGAGAACTAGTGATTTCAGGGTAAAAGAGAAATGAAGATTTCCTATTGACAATTCAGCCTCCAGCCCACAAACTTGAGCGGCAGGAGAGGGAAGAGGCAGGCCATCAGAAGAAGATTCCTCATGGCTCCTGAGATCTGAAAGAGGAATTACACACTTTACAAAAGAATCAAATGGAACTGTTAGAGATGCAGGCTATGATACAGGAAGTCAAAAATCTCCCTTGAAAATATTAAAAGCAAACTAGATCATAAAGAAAATAAAATCTGAGACGTAGAAGAGAAAATTGCTGGCCTAGAAAAATCCACCACGAAGACTGAGAAAATGGCCCCCAAAATGAGAATAATACATGAGAAATACTAGATACCATCAAATGTCCAAACATCTGGATAATTGGTATTCCAAAAGGTGAAGAGATTCATAAGGGCATTAGTAATCTACTCCATGAAATTCTGCAAGAAAACTTTCCAAACCTAGAGAGGCACTAAAAGATCCAGTCCCAAGAAATACAAAGGACCCCAAATAGAATCAACCCAAGAAGATCTTCTCCAAGATACATTATAGCCAGATTGACCAAAACTACAAAGACAAGATAGTAAGATTGGTGAGAGAGAAACATCAAGTCACCTACAAAGGATATCCCATCAGGCTAACAGCAGACCTTGCATCAGAAACAATGCGAGCAAGGAAAGAATGGGAAAATATATTCAAAGTGTTAAGAGCAGCAGTTAGCGTAATGGCTATGTCGCTGGACTCCCACATTATAAACCGTGGTTCGAGTCCCAGACCCGGTGGCTTAAAACTCACACTGGGTGCGTGTGTGTGTGAGTGCCCAAGATCCCGAGAGGAGAATGGAGGAGAAGGGATTGTGGCGTGACCATCCCCCATGGGGCGTGATTTCTTGCTTTCTGTCTCTATGTCTCTCTCTGTCTGTCTGGTGAGCGCACGTGC